AATATAGTTACAATTCAATCGTAATACTAATAATAGCAACATCGTCAACGTTTTTTTAGTTTGCAGTTCAGCTACTTTTGATGGTATAAATTTACACGCTACAAATCCGAAACAAAGTAATGTTCAGTAACTTTTGTTATTAATGATGTTAAGTTATTTTTGGACGTTGCTGTGATTGCACTGGATAACCAAAACAAGCATTTTATATTGTCCAGTGACTTTTGTAAAACTTAATGGTATGATGTTTTCGGATATTATAACGATCAGCAATTTTTGACAAAATGGTGTTCAGTGACCTTTGACGAGTAGTGTTCAGTTAATTTTGAACTTTCAAGATGTTCATTCAATAATGGCGCCCTCTCTTGTTAAGCGATTTATGGGTGATATAATGTACAGTGATTTTGAAAATTTGAATGTGGTCATCGACTATTGATGCTGACTGTACTACCTAAACAAGTTACATGCAACTTATTTTGAACACATTCTGATAATTGAATTAGGAGCGCTCCCGACGAATTTAAAAACAAAATTTTGTAGTATGTATTCTAAACATGGCGGCTGCAGTTAAGCACGAACCCATTCCAACTTTTATCTTTAACGGTTAAGTTAAAGATAACTTAATTAATGATGTCGCATTAACTTTACAAATTAGGGCAACTCATTCCGATATTGCTGAACTCGTTAACTTTTACTGGATTCGCTTCATAATTTTAAACTTTTCATTTAATTATTATCGATCTGTTTATATTTGAGTTTCTTGGAATGAGCAAAAGGCTTCACTTTTAATTTTTTGTTGTGTAATTGTAATAAATGATTTTGACTTTGACTTTGATTCTATAATTTGTTTGTTTACAAAAGCATGCGTTTAGCCTTTACTCGCTACTGTTTTCAGTATTTATGACTGTCTAGATTTCCCATAAAAAGCCTTCAACAAACGTAGCCTCCAACTAGGTAATGTATACTTATATATCAATACGATTGATTCTGTAGTGACTATGAAATAACCTTTTTTATTTATTTATTATTTATGTACACACAAACAACATATGAAAGGACAACATATAATAAAATTAAAGTGCAAAGGTACCACCTATTCCTATTGAAATTTCTTCGGTGGACCTGCGGCAGAAAAAATATAGTAATAATGGAATAGGACACACTTAATAGAAAATAAGCATTGCCATTCAATGTGGTAATGCTGCCAGTCTTCTGGGAACGTTCCCCTGTGATAGTGATGCGGACGAATACTTTGACGCCTAAATTAGGGTATTGTTTGTTGTTTCCTTTTTTACTTTTGATTTATTGAATAGTTTAGTTGTAGTTAATTTTAAGTTGTAAAAATTTAAGTATGTAGTTACAAGATGCAGTTTTCAAATAATAAATCGTTTAAATTCGACAGTATTTCAGAATAAGCGACAGCAATATTTATTATTGAAGTTTTATGGAATTAGGAATAATATCAATTGCATGTTTGAGTTTGTGTGTGTTACACTTACGGATTTCCGTTATTTACAGAAAAATGAATAATATTTACCTAAAATTTTTTTTATTGATTCTGACTTAGAATCGATAGTCGAGTTACCTCCTATAAAATGACGCGGCTTTGAAACAACACCTTGTATATACATGTATTTAATTTTCTTTGTTGGACACACTTACTTTCGCATTCAGAATAATGTAAATTTATAATTGGGATTCAGTGTAAAATCTACCAATTTAAATAACCGACTACCAACTAATGTAACAAAATTCGTTCGCAGCTGACATGGTGATATCAGCAAATGCTTTTATCATCTTCCTTGGAGGGTTTGAGACGACATCTTCAACTCTAGCCTTCCTATTCCTGGAGTTAGCAGCCAACCAGCAGGTGCAGGAGAAGATGAGGGAAGAGATCAGGCAGGTCGTGGACAAACACGAAGGGAAGATCACGTATGAACTGCTGCAGGAGCTGGTTTATATGGAGATGGTGATTCAAGGTAAGATACAAACGCTAGTCTATAGCATAAACGATTTGGTCAAGCTTGCTCTATAGTTTACTAGCTCTTACCCGCTATTTCGCTCGCGTCACAAAAGGATAAAAAGTAGCCTATGTGACATATACCAATACACACAGCGCCATCTATACCAATAATTTCGTTTTCCCTCTAGAATGTAAAATTTTCCGGTATAAAAAGTACCCTATTATTTATTCCAGACTTCTAACTTCATGTCTGCAAAAATTCAAATCAATCGGTTTAGTAGTTACGGCGTAAAAGTAGAACAAACAAATTCACTTTCGCATTATTAGTAAGGATGGAGCAAGATTGATCATAGAAATAAGGAATTTCTAAGAATCGTGTAGAAATGACGTCTGAAAAGTGCGTGGACAAGACAGATTAATATGTATGTATAGCTAGATTAAAGACAGTGAAATAGCAGTATGTTTATTAGAATAGTCCAGAAAAAATAAGTAGTAACATAACATCATAACATCGAGCCTTTTATCCCCGAAGAGGTAGGCAGAGGTGCATATTATGCCACTGTACAATGAAACACCCACTTTTCACTATTTATGTCATGACTCCCATGTAATAGGGGGTGAGCCTATTGCCATATACCGGGCACAATTCCAGACTCCGTGCTACTAATGAGAATTTAACCCAGTAATACTTTGCCCGACTCGGGAATCGAACCCGAGACCCCTTGCCCGGCAGTCGCACTTGCGACTACTAGGCCAGCGAGGCTGTCAATGAGGCAATTACCTCTATATTATTGTGTATTAATACATCATTGTTGATATAGGTAGGTACTTAGGCATATAGCATATAAGTACCTAAGCATCTAATAAGTCTTATTTCATACATACCTACATAATATCACGCCTGTCTCCCATGGGGGTAGACAGAGACTATGGAACTTATTATGGTACTTATTACATTACATTATATTATATTCATGATAATACAAAGTATACCTTCCAGACTATATAAAATACTATAGAAATACTATAAAAAAAAAAAATTCAGACATATTGGGTCCATACATTTAAAGTTTAATATTATTAAATATATATATTCTTAATTAATTTAATTTAATTTATTACATTATAACACCGCATTATCAATCATAATTTTTTTTATTATATTGTCAATTTAATTAATGTCAATTTAGGTAAAAAAATATTATCACATCCAACAAATATAAAGAAGAAATGAAAAAACAACATTTTTTTTTATCAATAGAATTAACTTAAGTATTTGCCTCCCTTTGAGGCACCGGCCACGCACACTTGAGTTTGAACCCAGTGCCTCATAAGGGGGCTATCCAGTTTTTGGCTGCGCACGCTCAAGATGGTGTTGGCGCTCCCACGCGTACGGAACATCAGTGAGGCAATGCGGCGCCGTAGCACCGCGTGAAAGCCGTCAGTGCGCGCTATAAACTATAGATAGACTATAGAAATACACCTTCCATTTTTCCACTTTTTTCCGATCGTATAGGTGCTTAATAAGTAATTAGTTTCAACACCACATTCACAAGTCTCTGACCCCAATTGGTTTGTTACTTGTAACCGGAAAAGTTTCTTTTAACGAGTTTTTACTTCTCTCCGAGTAATGGCCGACTGTTTGGTATTAAAAGAACCGTACCTTACGCTGGCTCACCACAGACAGAAGTTACAGGTGTAAGGTATAAAACTAGGTCGTTTTGGGAATTTATAGGAGCAGTGAAGTGTGGTGGAAGGTATGGTTGTAGGTATTAACAGGTACGAATAATGAAAAGAGGTTAGGGGAGGTTTAGCTTTTGGAAAGCATGATAGATGCAGATGGCTTTCGACCGGGTAGTCTGGAAGTCATAGGGGCCGAAATGAGGTTTATATTTTTAACAATAGTCCGCGTGAAAAGAACTGAAACCATAGACTATTTAAACGCCTTTTCTGAACGTGCGAAACTACAGGAAATCGAACTCGACGGTGTTATGTTATCGCAAATACTGTTAATTCCTTTTGAAAACTCGTCTACTTAACTTTTTATCTTCTTTTTTATGGTATCGTTGTCTTCTTACAAATGTTGGCCACCATTAAGGCCACTTGCATTCTAAAAGGTGTACTGGACTTGAATCTCTCTGTTCTTTCCAGAAACTCTTCGCCTGTACCCTCCATTCCCGAGCATCCAGCGTATGTGTACCAAGGAGTACACAATCCCCGACACCAACATCGTGGTGGAGAGAGGGACTATAGTGCTGTTCCCAACGCTGGGCATACAGAGGGATGAACAGGTAAACCATCGTAATATGTTTTTATTCTTTAGTGCTACTGCTGGTTACTTACTATCTTCTTGAACTGGTATTTATCATTGGTCGCATCTAGTAGTAGCTATCTCGAAAAATCATATCATACCATAAGTCATTGATTCGGTCATTTCGGTGGAAGTTCCTTGTTCGTACAGCTAAGTAGTGGAATTCTTTGCCAGAGTCTGTATTTCCTGAAGGGGTATATAACCTGGGTGTCTTCAAGGACCGAGTGAATAGGTTGCTTATGGGACGACGTGCTGCATTGTAGACGGCATGATCTCTTACCACCAGGCGAGATAATGGTCAAACGTCGGCCCATCAAATATATAAAAAGAAGTTAAGTAAGTATAATACAGCCACACTTATAACAATCACTGTCCATAAGAATATTTGTTTGGCTTTATAAGACTTGTTACGTGAAGTTACTATTTGTCACACACAAAAAGTCGATCTAATGCAATGAACTAGAGAAATATTGTACATATACATGTCGGCCCATCAAATATATATCTAAAAGAAAGATATATATGGTAGAAAATCATCCCTAGCCGGTATGCCAAGATGAAATATAAATTATTTCACGTATGTTTTTCTTAAGAAAAACGTAATACCTTAACCTATTTGGTAAAAAGCCAAGCGAAGGAACATATAGTATCCAGATGTAACCAGTTTCCAGTTCACCAAGTAATTTATCGTAGAAGTAAGTTATACTAGTATTAGTGGTATATTCTGAACATGTCGGAAGCGAGTTACTGGCTTATCTATACAACTTGTATGCAAGTGCCGGTCCAACACTTTGTTCCCAAGTTTTATTCCGTGTAAGATTTCAGCTAAGAGTTGGCACGTATTCGCGCCGAGCTGTGCGCTTCTATTTATTTTTACCGACTTCTATTTTATACGTTTCTTTGAAGGCAATGCAGTCGCTCTTTTTGCGTTGTTTAAAGTATTGTTTATGTGAAAATAGTTGTATGATAGGTTAGCTTTGGTGGGCTGCTTTTGCTGAATAGGAATCTATAACTAGATTCCTGGTGAGTGAATTTTAGTAGTGATGTCCATGAAAAGATTGATGACTGTTAATGAAGCGAAAGAGGTATGTAAGAATCGTAGTAATTGGCGTTCGTTAGTCTCTGCCTACCCCCATGGGAGACAGGCGTGAAAGTATGTATGTATGTATGTATGTCTATCAAGTGTCATTTATTGGGATTTTAGGTTTTCAAATCAATTGCTCCTAATTCATGGTTAATAACAGATGCTTATGTAATTACATTGATGAAGTAACATTATTGATTATTCAACAAAGAATAATTGCTCTCGGATGTCGCAAGCAACAGATTATTTTTTATGGGATGAGCTGGTTAACGAGCAGACGGATCACCTGATGGTAAGCAATCGACGTCGCCCATGGACACCTGAAACACCAGGGGCGTTACAAATGCGTTACCGGCCTTTTGGGAATTGGGAATTTGAGGATTGAGGGGGATTCGAGAATTGGGGGACTGGAGAGGGGGAGGTAATTGGGTCTCCGGTAACCTCACTCACACGACGAAACACAACGCAAGCGTTGTTTCACGGCGGTCTTTTGTGAGGCCGTGGTATCAATACGGTCGAGCCGGCCTATTCGTGCCGAAGCATGGCTCTCCCACAGTTAAGGTTAAATCCTAATGCCTAACATGGGATACAATCCCAGAGCGCGTGTTATTGCCGACTTCTTTTCGAAAAGCCGAAGCAATCTCAGTAGGCTTCTACGCTTCAACTAGCTTCAGTGGTTTTACGGTTACTCGATCAACGATTCCATCTTTCAATGTTAAAGCACATTTATTAGTGTTCTATTAATATCTCATATCTGAGATATGTTAACAAATAAAATTTCCACTTAACCTTTAAATCATCATCATCAACAGCCTATAAATACCCACTGCTGAGCAAAGCTTCTTCTCACACGGAGAAGGTTTGACCATTAATCACCACGCTTGCTCAATGCGATGCGAATGCGAAGGCGATTATAGACTTATAATTAGAAATTACAAGCCCAGGTTTCCTCAGCATTTTTTCCTTCACCATTTGTCAGTGGTGTCTAGATATTCTTAGAAAATACATATAACTTGGAAAAAGTCACATTGGTACTTGCCGTTGGTAGTTTTCGAACCCGCACCCTCGTGCATGAGAAGCGGGCCTCTTAAGCCTCCGGGCCACCACGACAATTTTTACCTTTAATTGACCTTGCCTTAAACTTAAAACCAGGGACTGAAAGCGGTTAAGGTATAACGGTACGGTACCGGTATAAAATAAGTGTACCGAAATTAAAGCTATACCGGTATTTAACCTTTATGCGATAACGGTACCGAAAAACTTAGATTTGACCGTTGCGAGACGTAAAGTTAGGAGTGTGCGGGGTGTGGTGCGAGGGGCCCCACTCCGAGGCGTGGAGCAGCGGCAAGCGAAAAACGCGCGCCTGTGTACCTGTTTATTCGTGTCACTGCTGCAACTAAACTACGCTACCGTTGTATGATTTGTGTGTACCGTACCTATCTAATAACTATATAATAGTCGTGTAACTATTAACTATGAGGCGGAAACGTAAAAATGCAGTATATGGATTGAGATATAAGTACTAATGAGTACATGCGTTTTTTTCATTTTCCAAGGAAAGTAATGTTTCTACATATTTAGTAACTGGATGCTTAGCTATAATAAAATAAGTATTGTACCCATTCATTGTAAACTTTGACCGGTCAGTGAGTATAGATGCAATATAGGTACTACTTATACAACCTATACCCTAAATGTAATTGGTAGGTATGTACATAATTATCTATCTTGTAGCTATAAGATACCTAACTATAACATTTATCTTATTATTCGGTACGTACCTATCTAAACTTTCGGATATCCTAGGTAGGTGTGTACCTAAGAACATCGTAATGTTTGTTTACTTATATTACATACCTACATAAAACCAGTCATTGGGTATCGTTCGTTAGGGTAGGTACTTACCTAAACTTTGATTATTTACTAGGTATATATAATATTATGTTCATAAGATGAATAGGATTAGGTACCTACCTTGGAATTTTAACTACAATTATTATATAATACAAATTATACAAGCCCAAACACAAGGTAGTTACTATAAACCGTTGATGAGTTCCCTTAACAATTACAGTTCTTCATCATCAGACCCTCAATGATAGTCCTACTCCATCTAGGTGTAAAGTTCTCATCAATACAAATCAATCAAGCCCAAACACAAGGTAGTTAATATAAACCGTTGAGGAGTTCCTTTGACTGTCTGTCGGCTCCATCATCAGGTCGACTCCAGACCCTTTTCAAATTGTACATACATACTTACATAACTTCACGCCTGTCTCCCACGGTGGGTTTTTTCATCACCTATCATTACCTGACATTCTGTTATCACCTCATTTCTTTCTATCACCAACACTTTCGTCTTGTTCACATTTACTTTCATACCTTTCCTTTCAAATGCATCATTCATAGCAGTGATCATTTGTTGTAATTCTTGGGCCGACGAGGCAACAAGCACTGGTCGTCGGCATACAACAATGTTTTAATCACTGTGTCATTCATCCTTAATCCAGACTCTCCTACTTTCAGGTCGTTCAAACAGCTGTCCATAAATAGGTTGAACAGCCAAAGAGATGCTACACAGCCTTGCCTAACAACTCGATTAATTTTAAACCACTCTGTGTAGTCCCCATTTATTCAGACAACGGCACTCGAGTCCTTATATAAGGATTTAAGTACCCGAATCAGGTGGCTATCCACCCCATACATGGACAGAGTTGACCACAATTCATCCCTCACCACTCTGTCATAAGCCTTTTCTAGGTCTATAAAGGCACAAAATACCTTTTGGTGCTTTGATAACACTTTCTCTGAAATGAACCGTAACGAAAAGACTTGATCCGTACATTTCTTGATCCCATTCCCTTTCGAAATCCCGCTTGCACATCCCAGATTTTACGCTCAGTTACATCCATCACTCTTTCGATCAATACCTTGGCATACAACTTTCCTACTACGCTTAGGAGGCTTATACCGCGATAATTTTTGCACTCCTGCTGTGATCCTTTTCCTTTATACAGTGGCACAATTACGGCCTTGGCCCAGACTCCAGGGACACGACCGCACCGCCAATACTTATTAAAAATTAGATACACCAGGCTTGCAATTACACCTCCACCCTCTGTTAGCATTTCAGTAGTTATCCTATCACATCCCGCTGCTTTACCTACTTTCAAACTCTTAATGGCACTCACAATTTCATCCATATTTATTTCTCCCACATTAGCACTTTCATTTTCATCGTTTACTTCCTCTTCTTTCAAATCACTCCTTTCAAATAAATTCTCGAAGTATTCCTTCCACTGCTTTAAAACATCCTTACTTTCTTCAATGACACTCATTTATATCCCTTATCGTACTTACTTTCGAGTCCCCCACTTTGCCTCTGGCCTTTCTAACTAAATGCCAGAATAGTTTAGCGTTGGCTCGAAAGTTCCGCGAAAAATTCCTTTCAAACTTTTCCTTGCATTCATTTTTCTTCTTGTTAACTACCGCTTTTGCTCTCTTTTTGAGACTAATGTACTTTTCTATCATACTTTCTAGCACTCTTCTATTTGCCTTTGAGGCTAATAAGTCGAGCCATGCTTTCTTCTTTTGCTCTATCACCTCTTTTACTTCATCATCCCACCATTCATTCCTCTTGCTTCCAGTGTTATTTTTCTTGCTTACCCCACATACTTGAGTAGCTACTGCGATCACTCCATCCTTAAATTCCTTCCAAAATTCTTCTATATTCCTTTCGTAACCTTTCATTAGCTCCCTAAACCTTTCATTTAATAGTTTCCTGTACTGGTCCCTAGCTGCCTCTTCTCTCAACCGTTCAACTCTCACTCTCTCGGTTCCAAGCAACCTTACCCGTGGCCGATGTCTCCACTTCATTGCCAGTCCAGCTATTCTAGTAATTACTAGGAAGTGGTCGCTTCCGACATTCGTGCCACGGTAAACCCTTGTATCCTTCAGTTTTGTCCTCAGGCGTTCATCAACAATCACAAAATCAATCGTACTTCTTTCTGTATGCCTCTGCCATGTATACATATGTATCTTCTTGTGACCAAATGTTGTGTTGGTCACAAAAAGTTCCTTTTCTACACATATATCCAGAAGACATACACCATTCTCGTTCACTCGTTCGTCTCCAAATCGCCCTAATACTCTATCGTACCCATCGCGTGCCACTCCAACCCATCCATTAAAATCTCCAAGCATAATTATTCTTTCATTCTCTTTACATTCATTAAGAACATCTCTCAAGTTATCCCAGAATACTTCCCTCACCCCAATTGGCTTTGAGATGTCCGGGGCATAAGCACAGACGACAAATAATTTGGTCAAGCCAATTTTAAGGCGGATCTAAAGTATCCTGGGACTCACACATTTATACTCTTTCACACATTCATTCATCCTTTCAGATAGTATGACCCCCACGCCCTGGCTGCCTCTCTGGGAACTTGCAACACCAGACCAGTAAGCAATATATTGGCCATGTGTGGTAGTCATACAACCCTTTCTTTTCGTCTCGCTCATCCCTAACAAATCAATCTTTCTTGTATTCATCATCTCACATATTTCTAACATCTTGCCTTCTACGCCTCCACACACATTCAGTGTAGCAAAAAGGCAATCCTCAGCCCGCTTTCTGCCTACTCACGGGGAGACAAAACGTGACGTGTGGCAGAGCACGTCGCCGTTGGGAATTTGCCAAGATACGACGGGGCTGCCTGAGCAATCATGCTCAGGGAGGGATTCTCCAGCGGAGCTGGTACCCTCCTGGGGTAGAGTTTAAAAATCCTAATTGAATAACAATACACATATTACACGCCCCTACAATTTTCGAAAGTTCTCCTCGGTTTTCCTAGGCTTCTATTATCAGATCCTGACCTCAATGAAAAGGACCATCTCGGGAGTATACCCTTTGAATCAAAACAAGAATTCTGGAAATCCGCGCCCGACGAGGTAGAAATAAAAAAACTTTAGGCATTTAACCAATTTTTGACAAAAATGTCGTGAAAATATATACCTATAAGGTAAAAAAAATATTATAACACACTACGTTATAATAAACTATAGTAATGAGCTATAGTGTAATAACATAAAAAGTGTAATAAAATAGTACGCACGCAGCGTCTGTGTGTGAGCGTGTCTACTGGCGTTAGATCGCCGCCGCGTGCCGTACGCGTCGACAACGAGTAGGTAAGATACTAGTACTTAGTACTCGTTACGTGTCAACTAGAAGTATGTTATTATCAGATTACATAAGTAGTAATAAGTACATATACTTACTTATTTCTGTTATTATAAGTTTTCGTGCGTTATTTGACATTGTTAATAATTGTTATCTCAATTCAACTCAGCACACCATAAAATATTATAACGCGAGCCGCATGTGATTGTGTCCAAAGAACAAGCCAAACTAATGCAATGCGATGAAATAGGATAGATGATCTAGCGCGGTCAATATCTCTCTCATACCTTTATTATTCAGGTTAGGATACTGGTACCGAAATATACCGGTTTTCATTTCATACCCAAAAATAGCGGTACCGAAATTAAATTTCGATACCGAAATTAAGCGGTAACCGTTATTTAACGGTATGACGTCATACCGCAATTTAAAGGTATCGTAATTTTTCGGTTATTCAGTCCCTGCTTAAAACTTAAAAAAAATACATCTTCAACAAGTCAATAATTGACAATGAATGACATCGACCGTTTTAATCCAATATTCTTCAACAAAGATTAAAACATTATCGTTATTTTAATATTGCGAGCGAATTAGAAATAATTGTTTTGACAGTTCATTCATTCGATTCAATAAAATATGTAAAACTGCTACAGACCTACGTGATCTGCAGTTTTATTGAAAGTTGTACAAACAACGTGAATTCGCGTTACGGTAGAATGTTTAGCCTTTTAAAGTACCTTAACAGTGCAAATTCTGAGGCCTTAGTACGTAGCTTGTTTTACGTTAAAAGTATTCGAAACGAGTACGCGTTTTGCAATCTGATTGGCCGGCGTCAATTAAACAACCAATCAGAGCACTTTAAGATTACTTTAAACGTAAATCAAACTCGTACTAAGGCCTCAGAGTGCCGAACGCGCACTATGCGCGTACTAACGCGCGTACTAAGGCCTCTGATTGGTTAGTTTATTGGCGCCTGCCAATCAGATTGCCGAACGCATACTCGTTTCGAATACTAACTGTCAAACACCACGCGGTTACCGGTGACCGCAACCTATTGTTCTTTAATTGTGTCTATAATGACGGTACTCAACGAGTTAAACGTAAAACAAATTCATACTAAGGCCTCTGTTTTTTGGGACATCCAAGGGCAATTTTGATGACATTAATGTTTGTTAAGTAATGAACAATTTTTTTATACAGTATGTTATATAGTATTAATTATTACTATTAGTTATTTATATTGTTTTTTTTGGCATATTAAACAAGCCTATTTTTGCTGACTCTATATTTAACCCAAAGGTTGGGAGAAAATGCCATATGGCATTAAGTCCGCCTTTTGTACCTTATTTTTGTATGCATTAAAGTTAATAAATAAATAAAAATAATGTTACTTTATCAATGCAATTACATTAATATCTGTTATTTACCATGAATCAATGGTTTTGTATAATATAATATGACACTTGAATCTTGATGGAAATCACTTTTGAACGTCAACAATTTTTGTTAAAGTGAAGCTATTTGCTCATTCCAAGGTGTAGATTCCTATGGAGAAGAACAAGCAAGAAACTCCATAGGCTACACTTTTTCAATCAAGTTCACAATACAATTCTCCAGTTACATAATTTTGGTGTTACATTGTTCTCGCAAAATCGAGCCGACATTGTTGTGTGAGTTCAAAAGTGCCTTCGTGCGTTAAGTGGGAGAGCCAAGCTTCGGCACGAATGGGCCGGCTCGACCGGAATGATACCACGGCCTCACAGAAAACCGACGTGAAACAGCGCTTGTATTTCCAATCTCCCAAAGTCCTGAATCTTAATAATCCTCAAATTCCTAATCCCCAAAAGGCGGGTAACGCACTTGTAACGCCTCTGGTGTTCCGGGTGTCCATGGGCGACGTTGATTGCTTACCATCAGGTGATCTGTCTGCTCGTTTACCGGCTTATGCTATAAAAAATCCTTAATTACTTTAGAGTTGAATATGGCTTGATGCGTGACACATGATACAATCGTAGCATGCAATATTAAACCTTCTAACATAACATAACATAACATCACGCCTTTTATCCCCGAAGGGGTAGGCAGAGGTACACATTATACCACTGTACAATGTAACACCCACTTTTCACTATTTAGGTATGTTATGAGTCCCATGTAATAGGGGGTGAGCCTATTGCCATATACCGGGCACAATTCCAGACTCCGTGCTACTACTGAGATTTTTTTAAAAACCCAGTAATACTTTGCCCGACCCAGGAATCGAACCCGAGACCCCTTGCCCGGCAGTCGCACTTGCGACCACTCGGCCAACGAGGCAGTTACCTTCTATAATGTGTTAATAATGTTCTATTTCAATTACAGTACTTCGAGAACGCGTCTGCGTTCATTCCTGAGCGCTGGTCTGAAGGTAGCCCGCAGCCGCCGCCAGGAGTCTACATGCCCTTTGGAGACGGGCCGCGGTATTGTATAGGTATGTCATTTTGTACATGTAATATCGCTTCTCATGCATGAGGGTTCGACACCTACCAAGGACAAGTACCAATGTGACTTTATCCGAGTTATATGTACTTTCTAAGATTATTTAGACACCACTGACAAATGGTGAAGGAAAACATCGTGAGGAGACCTGTGGGCTTACTCTTGAATCCAATTGCGATCGATCGACATTGACATTGTGAAATTTCGTACTCTTGAGTAGCAACACTAGCGCCCATTGCATCCGTATTGCGTGGATATTGAATGAACTAAATGGTAATGAGTTTGGTTTTATATTCCGCACTCTAAATGGTACTTTAACAGCTACGATAGGGGTTGTATAGTTTTGACATTGGATAATTATTGCGATTTTATTGGCTTGAAATTGCATTGACATTGAGATTGGTTTCAAGAGTAAGCACCCTGGGCTTATAATTTCTAATTATTAATTAGACTGCACGGTTGGCGCAACTGGCTACCGTGAAACGGTGTCGCGGGTTCGATTCCCGCACGGAACAACTCTTTGTCTGTTCCACAGATTGTTGTTCCGTGTATGTGAACTTGTATGTTTGTAAACGCACCCACGACACAGGAGAAAATGCTAGTGTGGGGCAATGTTTAAAAAAAAGTTTGAAATCGCCAACGCGCATTGAGCGAGTGTGGTGATTAATGCTCAAACCTTCTCCGTGTGAGAAGAGGGTTTGCTCAACAGTGGGCCTTAATAAGCTGTTGATGATGATGTGTATGTATGTGTGTTATACAGGGTAGAATGTTGTAATGCCACCAGAAGGGGAAGTACTCTCAATACTTAAGATAGAAAATTTTACTAAACGAAAATATTCCTTTATTTTCGAAAAGAAACAAAACTCCATTCAAAGATTTTTTTAAATTACCTCACACGGTAATCGAACCGACTACAATCTGTCAAAGTTTGCACCCTGTACTTTTATTGCGTCGTTCCAATTCCATATTATACGCGCTGACTTCTCAGAAACTCGTAGTGTCAGCAAATAAACGTATTGCGTTACATCACATTCAGTGTTGGGTTGCATGTTTTTGATGACGGTACTTACTCACTTGAGTTGAAGTGGCAATATGATACTTATTGCTACGTAAATAGACGTCGGAATGTTTGTCACCGATTTTTATTGAACTTTAACCTACTTCGGCTACAGTTTTATTTAATCGGTATTAATAATATCATGAATGCGACAGTCTGTTTGTTAGACTGTGGAGCACAATGCACATTTGTATTAAATGCTAGTCATATTTTTATTTGAATATTATTTGGCTGTTTACACAATAAGTATAAAGTCATCGCACACCTAACATGCACGGGTCCGACACGGCTCCAAACCGGCAATGTCATTGTCATCGCTACATAGTATAAAACAAAGTCGCTATCCGCCGTCTGTCTGTCCCTATGTATGCTTAGATCTTTAAAACTATGCAATAGATTTTGATGCGGTTTTTTTAATAGATAGAGTGATTCTTAAGGAAGGTTTGTATGGATAATACATTCATATTGCACACGTGCGAAGCCGGGGCCGGTTGCTCGTTTAAATATAAATTTTAAATTGTATGCCGTTTGATATTATTTCATAACGTCAATATAAAAAAAACTGTAAGTGTGTAGCCGGCGCGTGGCCGTGCAATGGCTGTGCTTGAGCCGTGCCGGAGTCGTGCCGGGGCCGTGCCCGAGCCGTGCTTATTAAGTCTGCGATGACCTGAAGGCGTGTGGCGGCGCCGCTGTCGCTACGGCGTACTGTGTAGACAGAGACACATAGACCGCCTTAATAATAAATAATAATAATATATGTTTTATTGTACACCACACAATCACATTACAGGATAATATTAACAAATATTAATATAAACAATTAGCCTTACATTCTATTGAAATAAGAGACGACCTTGAAATAGGTGTTAGCCCATCGCCATATAAGTACACAAACAATTCTGAACTTAGTCCTGAAAATATTAAAAAAAACCGAAATGTGCCACCCAAACGTACTGTTCAAACAAGTCAATAAACCTTATTCGTTCAATTCAATTCAATGAAATTCATAACATAACATCACGCCTTTTATTCCCGAAGGGGTAGGCAGAGGTGCACATTACGGCACTTAATGCCACTGTACAATGTAACACTCACTTTTCACTATTTATGTTATGAGTCCCATGTAATAGTGGGTGAGCCTATTGCCATATACCGGGCAATTCAATTAAATTCATGTCAATAAAAAAATAATTATTATTTTCCTACTCCACAGGTAAAAGATTCGCCCTTATCCAAATGAAATGCTGTCTGCTACGAGTACTGCAGCATGTGAGGATTACTCCAGCTCCTCGTCCTGATGCTGCAGGGAAACTATCAGTCCAACCTCGACTGGAACCCTTCACTGCTGACCCTCGGTCCCCACTAACGCTTCACCCCGCTGACAGCCTGGTAACTCTTAGCTTGTTATGACGAAATTCTGTCTTCGTTTGTAGAGACCAGCACTTCAACGTATTCTAAAGATTTTAAACCTTCATATTTAGTAAAAGAGTTGAAAATTGATGAAGTAAACTGACAGTCCAGCTTCGAGTGGATCCTTTCAATCCCTCGGTCCCCACTAAGTCTTCATCTCGTTGACTGCTTAGTTGCTCTTACCCTGTTATATCTCCCGTAACAGGCTAAGAGCAACTTTACAACTTACGCAATAAAGTTTAAAGTCGATTCAACAAACAGTTTGGACTTAGTCTGCCGGTATATGGATATCCAAAAGATTTTCAACTCTACTATTCAGATAGTAAAGTATAAAATTGATTAAAGAAAGATCTTTAGAACACTTTCTACTGGTATGTGCACGATTTGAATATCTGTGACGATTTAAATATTGTTAATAAGTCAACTATTTTTTCGTAATTACTATGTGAATGTTTCACATTCCAACAAATTAAAATAATTGCATAAGTTTCATGTAAAGAAGTTTTTAAAGCATCGATGGACCTATTTAAAGTTTTTTTTTAAAAATTCATTATTATGACTTATGACATCTCGCCGGCTCTGCCTCGAAGATTGTAAAAGAATATTACTTTTTTTATTGTTTGTTTCAATCATTTAATTTCGTTTTGTAAATAGTGAAATATAGTCTAGCTAAGAGCCAAATATTCATACTAATCATTGAAAAAATAAAATGTGAAAATGTCTTTGTGTTCATAACTCTTGAACGACTGTACCAATTTTGATAAATCTATTTTTATACAGAATATAGCTCTTGAAGTATCTTATACATTTACGAAGTCATGTCTTATTATTAATAATTTGTTACTGAAATGTTGAAAATGTAAATAAAAATTGATTTTAGCCTGTATGTATTAGTATACGGCTTTGTTAAAATAAGGATTAGCTCATAAGTGATAGTTTTATTATTATTATCTTGTCGTTTCTGTAAATAAACTGCTTTTTATCAAATACATAACTGACTTTTATTTCATTTTTAAATGGTTACTACGACCGCACCGTTTTACGAATGCCGATATTAAAAACCAGTATAAACAGACCGTCGAATGTGCGGAAAGATCATACAAAGAGAGTTCACAATAAAATGGATTGTATAGTTTGATTTGTTTTTTTTTTTATATAAAAACGTAGGTCAATCAACGGTCACCTACGTTACTGGAGAATTTGCCTTCATTAGTTTTCTGTCGGCAGTCAAAGGTTTAATGCCACTGTACAATGTAACACCCACATTTCACTATTTATGTTGAGTCCCATGTACCTAATAGGGGATGAGCCTATTGCCATATACCAGACACAACCAAGACTCCGTGCTACTAATGAGAATTTTATAAAACCCAGTGAAACTTTGCCCCACCCGGGAATCGAACCCGAGACCCCTTGCCCGACAATCGCACTTCCGACCGCTCTCGGCCAATGAAAAGGACCAGTATAAACTGACCGTTCAATGTACGGACAGATTATATAAAGTGAGACCACGATAAAATGGTTATTATTACTCGATGCGTACTTTTGTTCGACTACACGTTCGATACAATACCCTGATCCGTTTATATCCTAACATAAATTCTAGTAAACACTTAGTTTAGTGCTAGACCTAACTATAAATCTAGAAAATCTCATTTTAGACCTTTATAGGGTCTCTTCTAACATTCGTTATGTCTATGTGGTGATATAGTTGTTGATAAATAAATAAAGTTAATTTATTTTAGTGTAACACAACATAACATCACTCAATTTATCCCCGAAGTGGTAGGCAGAGGTGCACACAGACGTAACACCCACTTTTCACTATTTATGTTATGTAATAGGGGGTGAGCCTATTGCTATATACCGGACACAATTCTAGACTCGGTGGTGCTACAACTGAAATTTTTTTTTATAACCCAGTATATGTAATTTGGCCGACTCGGGAATCGAACCTGTGAACCCTTGCCCGACAGTCGCACTTGCGACCACTCGGCCAATGAGGCAGTTATTTTAGTGTATGTATTATTTATTTGGTACTAGCGACTCGCCCCGGCTTCGCACGGGTGCAATATGCATGTATTATACATATAAACCTTCCTTAAGAATCACTCTATCTATTAAAAAAAACCGCATCAAAATCCGTTGCGTAGTTTTAAAGATATAAGCATACATACGGACATACAGCGAAAACGACTTTGTTTTATACTATGTATTGATGATGTATGGGCAGTATTATTATGCATGAATTGGTTTCATTGTTATTGTACACTGGACGACCTCCTTTTTCCCAACTCCTGATTACTGGCTCCATCCAAAGGTTGTCTGTAAGAAATCGCATTCTGCGATAAAACCGCCCATTGTAAACATATTTTCTTTATTTTACTTTTCTCTGTATGTTTTTATGGTGTTTTGTTTATAGCATAAGCCGGTAAACGAGCAGACGGATCACCTGATGGTAAGCAATCAGCGCCGCCCATGGACACCCGAAACACCAAGGCGTTACAAGACCGGCCTTTTGGGAATTGGGAATTTGAGGATTGTGGAGGATTCGAGAATCCGGGAGACTCGGGAGGGGGGTAATTGGGCCTCCGGTAACCTCACTCACACGACGAAACACAACGCAAGCGTTGTTTTACGTCTGTTTTCTGTGAGGCCGTGGTGTATCCTAATACTATAAATCGGAAAGTGAGTTTGTTTGTTTGTTTGTTCCACTTTCACGCCGTAACTACTAAACCGATTGCTTTGATTTTTTGCAGACGTAAAGTTAGAAGTCCAGATTAAATAATAGGGTATTTTTTATCCCGGAAAAAATTGTTATTCCCGAGGGAAAAACAAAAGTATTGGTATAGATGGCGCTGTGTGTATTGGTATATGTCACATAGGCTAATTGTTATCCTTTTGCGACGCGAGCGAAGCCGCGGGTAAAAGCTAGTTTGTTATATTTTATAAGAGTACCTGCAACCAGTTCGGGGAATATAAATCAATCATAAAAATATGATTGCCGGGAAAAACAAAAGTATTGGTATAGATGGCGCTGTGTGTATTGGTATATGTCACATAGGCTAATTGTTATCCTTTTGCGACGCGAGCGAAGCCGCGGGTAAAAGCTAGTGTACAATAAAGTGTAAATAAATAAAAAATAAATAAAGAATTATATTGACGAGGGATGTAACGTCAGTTTTAGTAGTTCATTTAAATAGTAATTTATTGTAGGTTAAGTTCCTATAACTGACGAGCAAGTATGAAAAGACTGATGACTGTTGATCAAGCGAAAGAGGTATGTAGGAATAGTAGCAATTTTTTTTTTTATGGTGGAAAATCATCGAGTGACTGTTCCCGCCTGGGTGAGGCGGGAGGGAGTGTCAGACTCTTACTGACTAAAAACCACCCCGTTCCTTCTCCTGCACGTCGAGTCGGAGCCCCGGTTACCCGTTAGGTTCTCCGCGACAGGAATAGTAGCAATAGGCGTTCCATAGGCGTGCTTGGAACTAGTTGAGTAATCCGTCAGACATTTATGTGAGCTATTCTTGTCGTGTTGTGTGAGATAATAAATACCTAAGTGCTTAAATTAAACTCAAATACTCGGCAGTTAAGCTAGCAGCTACTGGACTATCGAGGTCACACAATATGCAAGAATTAAACAAAAATATTGCCATGACTTGGCTAACAGAAATGCATATGTCTGCGCGACACATACGGTGTAAAGTTTCAGAAACACAAACTAAGCACAGTGAGCATCTAATCAAGAAGTATGACATTCAATAATAGATCTTAAGAATATTTTGTATAAGGTATATAATTCTAGAACACTACAAGGCGGTTTGAACATTTTATCACTTTAAAATGACCCTTTATAAAGGAGGAGTACACCAAATAATTTTATAATATTTTTTACATTTGACTGAGTCACGTGTGGACGGTTCAATTGATTTTTATCCTTAAAACTTATAAACAGAAGATTGATTTTAGCATATAATTAATCGGTTTATAATATCTTCTATTTTTGTTGATTATTTTTTGTTATATATATTTTTTAAATTGTTTACTGTTCGAAAATTTGAAAAAGGAATTCAAAGGACATGATGGTAAGTTATTTTTTTTTATTCTGTTACTGCCATGTAGTCTAGCAATGGAACTTTATTCATAATTCCCGTGTAGTTTTGTATCATGTTTGTGTTATTACATTGTTTGCTTTTAAAATGATGAGATTGAATTAATACTATTAACTCGTCGAGTACCGTCATTATAGACACAATTATAGAACAATAGGTTGCGGTCACCGGTGACCGCTTGGTGTTTGACAGTTTAATATAACCTCATCATACTATTTTTTGTTACTCATACCAACACAATGAAATTAAATACAAGAACACCATGCAATTTTTCATCCTAGTTTTTAAAATTATCTTTACCATAAAATATATCATCGCGAAATTTTTCGTCTGTCTGTATTGGGAACCATCTCTTGTTGGGTAAAAAGTTTACCTTATACTTACATCTATAAAAAATAAGTACCTACATATTTGGTGTGGAGACCTTTGTCCAGCTGCGGACGTTTTCCAGCTACTGATGGCGATAATAGGGTAGATGACAAATTTTTATTTAAATATCCGTCTGGTAGATTATATAAAATATTACACACGTATTTTCTCTTTTCTTACGGAAACGAATAGTTTCGATTTTGAAATATCGCATGACGTCACTTTTGTGTACGATTTGTACCCTAAAATGACGGAGCTACCCCCACTCGTTTGCCTCGTTTTATCTAAGTATTGTTTTCTTATACGACGAAATACAAAAAATACGTGTACAATATTTTTTCATTACCTAACTGACGGACTAATTAGATTTTTAATTTTCATACCCTGTCTGTCATCATCTCTTTTATCTATATATTTCTATACCATCAAGATTAAAAGACGTAATATACCCGTATTTCCCCAAGCGGTCACCGGTGACCGCTCTCCACTAACTACATTATAGACCTTATTTCCAATGTTTAGAGACTACTTTTGTATGAACAAATTTAGGGGATGATTTTCAACAATTTTCAACGAGTGTTTTACGTAAGGTCACAGAAAACGATTTACTTATTCAACCATTTCAAGAGTAATTTCATTCCCCCCTGGGTTTTTCACTCCTGAGATGGGTTGCAGTGAATCATAATAAGATACGGTGTGATCATCAATCATTTGGCTATCCTAAACTTGTCTATTAGAGGACCTAGAGTGAGCTTTTTTACGTTATCGAGATCGAAAGGTTATTGCGTTTAGGCCTCTGATTGGTTAGTGAATTGAAGCTGGCCAATCAGACCGCAGAATGCATGAATTAGGCCCTTCAGATTATAACCAGAATATAAGTATTCGACATACTTGAAACTGTCAAACACCAAGCGGTCACCGGTGACCGCAACCTATTGTTCTATAATTGTGTCTACAAAACCGGTACTCGACGAGTTAAGGGGGGAAATCATCGAATGACTTTTCCCGCCTTTGTGATACTCACTTTTACTGACTAAAAACACCTCATTCCTACTCCTCCACTTCGAGCCGGAGCCCCGGCAACCCGTTAAGTTTTCCGCGACAGGAATTTCAGGATATTCTTTGTAAATATGCGTCTATTGCTTTTCTTAATTTTACTGTTAAGTAGTTACCTACTAATATTAAAGCACATATTCTTTGGGTGCTAATTAAGGCAGCTTCTTTAAAATGTCATTCTCGTCTGCAAATATATTTAGTTGTCTAATGAATTAATAGGTCAGCGACAAACTTTTAGCGTCTAATAAATGGTTTATAATCGACCATATATTGTAAAACAAGCTACTGTTAATATGACGCAACATTTAAACTAATATTTTTAATATAAACGGCTAAATGGTATGAAAAGATTATTTTAAAAAGCAGTTAGTGATATAACGCTCGGCGGCCGCTACCGCGGCACCGCTCGCTACGCTCGCTCGCCTCGCGCCTTGTGAGGGTCGCAGTTCTAACCTAACCTAACCAAATGTTTCGGGGTGCCCAAAATTGCTGTGCAGTCAGTCAACATTAGTCGCTGAGTTATCAAATCAGAAGTAAATATATTTATCGGTAGCTCGGAGTCATATTAATTTACGCTCGTAAATTGACGCTGGTTTCTTGATATTTTGTTGGAATAGTAAAGATGATGAATTAATATAATTGAAGCTGTTCTATTAACTCGTCGCTCACATATAAAAAAAGACGCTAGGTTGCAGGTGCTAAAGAAAACTTTTGTTGCCGCACATATAATTTCCCATATTCTTTAACGAGTAATATGTATATTACCGAATATTATACTTTAAGGCAAACACTGACACTGACTGCCTCATTGGCCGATTGGTTGCAAGTGCGACTGGCAGTCGTACGGTCAGTAGGTTTATAGTTAGGTCTAGCACTAAACTAAGTGTTTACTAGAATTTATGTTAGGATATAAACGGATCAGGGTATTGTATCGAACGTGTAGTCGAACTAAAGTACGCATCGAGTAATAATAACCATTTTATCGTGGTCTCACTTTATATGATCTGTCCGTACATTGAACGGTCAGTTTATACTGGTCTTTTTCATTGGCCGAGAGCGGTCGGAATTGCGACTGCCGGGCAAGGGGTCTTGGGTTCGACTCCCGGATCGGGCAAAATATTACTGGGTATTTAATAAAACAGTCGTAGCACGGAGTCTGGGATTGAGCCCGGTATATGGCAATAGGCTCACCCTTTTACATGGGACTCGTAACAATAACATAAATAGTGAAAAGTTGGTGTTACATTGTATTTGCAGTGGCATTAAGTGCTGTAACGTGCACCTCAGCCTACCTCTTCGGGGATAAAAGGCGTGTTTATTACAAACAGACTAGGATATAATTGCCAGCAATGAAGTCATTTATATAAAAGATTTCTAAGAACAAAGTGAAACGAAACTGAGCTCATCTCACAATAGAAAGTGCCACATCTGTTAACCATAACTTTAATAGCGGTTCCTTGGTCCTGCGAAACAATTGACGTATTGCTCAAAATAACTTTAAATGTGTTCTTTAAGAACGTGGGAATAGGACTCCAGCCAGGTGATCTTACATATCATTTTAACATTCCAGGGATAGTTCCTTTTGGACCGTGGAGGCAAGAAGTCGTTAGCAGAGCTTATTTTTAAAATTCTGTTGCTTAAGTGAATGAGTGTGGTGTAGAAGATATAAGTATTACTGAGTGTGTGCGAACGGGTGAGTGGATGTAGTTATTGTAGTTTCTGATACTGACTATTTTTTTTTATGGCATAAGCCGGTAAACGAGCAGACGGATCACCTGATGGTAAGCAATCGGCGTCGCCCATAGACACCTGGAACAGCAGAGGCGTTACCGGCCTTTTGGTGATTAGGAGTTTGAGACTTTGAGGATCGTTGGGGCTTCAGGAATTGGGGCGATTGGGGAAGGGGAGAGTAATTGGGCCTCCGGTAACCTCACTCACACGACAAAACACAACGCAAGCGTTGCTTCACTTCGGTTTTCTGTGAGGCCGTGGTATCACTCCGGTCGAGCCGGCCCATTCGTGCCGAAGCATGGCTCTCCCACACTTAAGATTATTTATTATGCAAAGTCTATTTGTGTATCTTTCATTTAACTTCCTATTATTTTCATGTTCCTAAGTTTTCGTTGTTGATTTTTATTTTATTTGACCTGTGACGTATCGTTTGACAGTGTAATCTATAATAAGTAGTATTATAATTTTGTTCGCGTTATTTTAATTTATTTTATGATGTTTATCATATATATATTACGCCCGCTTCTCATGCATGAGGGTGTGGGTTCGAAACCTACCAGCTGCAAGTACCAATGTGACTTTTTCCGAGTTATATGTAGGTACTTTCTGAGATTATTTAGATACCGCTGACAAACGGTGAAGGAAAACATCGTGAGGAAACCTGGGCTTTACATTTCTAATTATTAGTTTGAAATCGCCAACCCGTAAAGAGCAAGCGTGGTAATTGATGCTCAAACCTTCTCCGTGTGAGAAGAGGCTTTGCTCAGCAGTGGGCGTTTATAGGCTGTTGATGATGATCTTAATATTTGTGTGCCCATGGTTTGGGGGAGGCCTATGTTCAGCAGAAGACGTGTTGTGGCTGGAAATACATACCTATAAGGCAAAACTATTTGCAATTGACGAATACCGTATGTAGGTATTATACCGCATTATAATAAATTATAATACGGTTATATACCCGTATTATACACCTCCTAGCTATTATACCGTATGCTTACAAATGAATAAATCACACTTATATTATAAACTAGCTACTTCCGCGCGGTTTCACACGCTCTGCTCAGCTCCTATTGGTCGTAGCGTGATATTTTATAGCCTATAGCCATCCTCGATAAATGCGCTATTCAACATAAAAATAATTATTCAAATCATACTTGTAGTTACAGAGATTAGCGCGTTCAAACAAAAAAAATAAACTCTTCTGCTTTATATAATACCTAGTATTATAAATGTGTAATTTTCTTTGTTTGGATGTTTGTCCGTCACACACGCTGAAACTACTGAACCGATTTTGATGAAATTTGGTTTGGTAACAGGCAGGGTATGAGCTGACTTAGGTGAAGGGATTATAATAATATACTTAACCTCTAGTAGGTTAAGTATGTTGTAGAGGTATAATGTGTATAGGATTTTTAAATTTAAATAAGTGATTGTTTTTGTTTATTTTTTCTTTGTGTTGTAAAATTTCTTTTTTATTTGTATTTTGGATTATTGAGTTTAGTTTAGCCAAAAATTTGTTCATTTTTGTTTTTTTTTTATTTTACTTTATGATTTTGTTATAATTGGACGTTACATAGATTTAGTTTAAGGCCTAGCTATCGCAATGGAGAAACCTGTCATGATAGTTTAGATAAGGTTTTATATAAATAAATAAATAAATAAATAAATTTTAATCCCGATTAAATGCTCCCATGTGATGAATTAGGAATCATATTCGACGCGGACGCAAGTCGCAGGCAACAGCTATCGATTTAAAAAAATAAAAGTGACAAGTAATACCTAAGAAGTGGCTACTAATTATGAGCTACTAGTAGTAG